CGATAAAAATTAAACATCACGAGCATGGACCAAAACAAAATTTTAACCTAACTAATACTGAAATGGAAATAGTGCGACGTTGGATCGAAACCCTAATTTGGAGAACTGGGGAGAGGTTGTTCAAATTAGAAAATATCAACCGGGTAGCTCACTATCTTACTGAAGAAATTATATCTGCTTACTGGATTATTTATGGAATTGTTTACCATAAAGATTGCATGTAAACCAATTTGAGCGGAGTTCAGTTGATAATAAGTTAATTGACATTTTAAAAGCGAGTATGTATATAAATATATATTTCCTTTTAAAAAATGGGGATTATGAATATAATGACGAAGATAGGGCTAGAAATGCATACTAATCCTAATTGGAGAGGGGTACTTTTAGTAATTTTGCTTTTTTTTCTTTGATGAATTTTTGTGGATAAATCAAATAATAAAAAAATGATTAAACCCGAGTACATTTCGATTGCATGACAATTTAGAATTAATGTTAGCTGTCTTTTACTTTTGCTTTTAAATCACGCTTTGAAATAAATTTATATTTTTCCTTAAATGGTAAATTGTTAGACTTTTATGTCGTTTAAATAAAATGATGTCACCGAGCTCTTTCGTCACAATCGCAAATAACGTAGCGACAATGAAAGTTTGTTTCTTGGTTTTTTTAGTACAAGAATCAACGGCGGATTTTGGGCGGGTAGCTAGGCATGGGCTCCAAGTTTTGCTTGGAAGTCATACCGTGCTTCTTTGTGTGAGCATTCAGATTATCGATCGCTCCCTTGCAGATGAATCAGGTCAATAAGCCTTCCACAGTAGTATGATATTGTCCACAATGGTATGATATTATCCACTTTGAGCATAAGCTCCCGTGGCTTTGCTTTGGACTTCCTCAAAAGGCCTCATACCAATGGAGATAGTATTCTTTGCTTATAAACTTATGATCATTTCCTAATCCTTCCCTCGTACAAAGTACACTATGAGCCTCCCTTGAGGCTAATGGAGCTCTCGAACAGCCTCCCAAGGCTCGACTCCTTTCTCTAGAGCCTTCGAACAAAGTACACCATTTGTTCGACACTTTAGTCACTTTTGACTACACCCTTTTAAGCTCACAATTCTTTGTTCGATATTTGAAGATTCTATTGTCATGGCTAAATTTAGGGCATGGTTCTATATCAACTGACATAATATCTAACACTCAAAAGTGACAATAAATCTGAAATTATTGTTACTGAAACAAGACAATACAGAAAAAACTAAAATATGGAGTCTTACTATAGCTATAGTTTACTAACAGTAACACTTCTATTTAAACTAAAATAACTTCTCTAAAGACTGAACTGATCTTCACAGAAATATCTAACTAACCTACAACTAATTTATTGAATAACTTGACTAATTCAAACTAGCAATAAGTTGCACTAAATTCTGACCCCCTCTGTTAGTGCAAGGTTATTTCTTTCAATAATTTCGAGAGCGTTACTGAAAACTTCAAACTTCACTTTGGCAAGTGTGTTAGTAAATATGTATGCAACTTGCTCATTACTATGTATTTTCTGCAATTCAACATCCTGCGATAACACTTTTTCTCAAACAAAAAGATAATGAGTTTCACTCTTTTTTTGTGAGGGAGGACGACTCTAGTTCACCAATACTTTTGTGAACTATACACAAACTGTATCTACTCTTTCTCCGACCCATGCAAAATTGATGCTTTAAACAAAAGCGCATAACGAAAAATAATACATTTATTAAACAGGATGACGACACACGCGACGCCAACGCGCAACAGCTTTCTTCGAGGGATGGCTACTGTGCTTCGCAATGTATTGCTCACGTGGATTATTCTTTTCATGTTGAACCACAATGGACTATTTCATGTTACTAGAAAATGGTTTGTATGAGTGCAAAATTAACTCCAAAAAGATTTGATATAACTCTACTTTTGGAGAGATATCACATATAATCAGAACAATAAGCTTTGACTGTGACTATTATGGTTGTGAGGTCTCTATCATTAAGTTCTACCTCTTTGTTGGAAGGACTCGCTTTCCCCTCCCCTGCCTTCAAGTCTGCACCCCCTGGAGAAGTTGGGTCGATAATTTCTATTACTCTCACTTATGTAAGCCCGGATCCACTTTTGGTCTTGGAATTGATCATTGTTAAGGTCAATAGTCGTTCAACTGCGACATAGGTCGTTGAATGATCTTGGACCCTCTATTCGTTAAGCTTGGCATTCACCTATGGCTTCAGCCCCTCAACAAAGCTGAAGAACTTGTCTTTCTCAGACATGTCATGAATATCCAACATAAGCCTAGAAAACTGCTTAGTGTAGTCTTGGATATTCTCAGTATGCATCAGCTCCCTTAACATCATTTTTTTTTTTATTATCTCGACATTATCTAAGAAGAATTATGAGCGGAATTCTTGTTTTAGACTCTCCCAAGTTTTCGTGATACATCTGTCATCTTAAATGTCCATGTACGTCGATCTCCAACACAACTTTGCATCGTTAGCTAGATGCATTATGGCTAACGTAACTTTTGTCTTTTCTACCACGATATTTGTGGCTCGAAACTATTGTTCTAAGTCAAAGATAAAATTCTCTAAAATCTTGCCATTTAGAGCCCGATAGAAGGACTTAGGCTCTGGGACTTCACCTTGTTAAATTGAACCGCACCCCAATTAGAATTTGGCTCCCCACTGCTCTTATGGTGAGGTTTAGCTTGCCGCTCAAATCTGCCACTTCAGCTCGCCCACTCCAAGAGTTGCTCTTTAAGTCCACAAACATTTCTAAAACCATCTGAACGATCACTTTTTAGGCATTGTCTAACCCCTAGTTTTAAGATTATTATGAAGATTAAGAACATTTGACGTTTGTAACCTGATTACAGTGATGCATTATGACTCACAAACGTTATGACGTTTGTAGCCATACCTTTGTTTCGACTAGCGTCAATTAGAATCTTCGAGATATATTTAATTATTTATCTGAGAGTTGACCTAGGTTTCGACCTTTCTCTTGGACCAGACCGAACCGGATTGAACCGGGTCATAGAGTGCCCAAGGAACATCTTGGAGTAAAATTGTGTTGGGCCTCAACTTCCTAGGCCTTAGCCCATCAATGCTCTCTCCCTGGGCCTAATTGGGCCTCAAAACATCCCTCTAGCCCATGTGTTGAGCAGTTATGTTGGGCTTTCATTTTGGGTCCAATTATATCCATACAAATATAATAAAAAATTGTAATATTTAATAATTTATTTTAAAATTTATGAAATTATATAAATAACTAATTAAATATATCTCAAAAATTCTATTCGATGACGTTTTGTAAGTCATAATGCATCACTATAATTGGATTACAAACGTCAAATATTCTTAATCTTCCTAATAATCGTTAAGTTGAATTCGGTTGTAACCGTACTTTTGGATTGGTCTGGTTGACCCAACAAAAAAAAGTCAACTTGCCAATTGCATCGAATTGTTGATTTTAAAAAAAAATCAAACCCAATCCAAACCGAAAAAAATATAACCTAACCCAATCTTTATTGTTTGGGTTGGATAGCTTTTGTTGGTCGAGTTTTTGAGTCATAAGATATTTATCACACGAGCATGGATTACAGAATGTTACGTACGAATACACACACCACGATATTATATACACTCCTTTCTTTTCCATTGGTTTTTGACAACACAGCATGCATACCCTATAGTTAGACCTAAGGGATACGTATACGAGCCCGATTAGTAGATTCATGAGTGCACGTGTAAATCGTGCATAAAAATAATAAGTCTTAATAGTTACGAAGTTGTTGCATATAATTGCATTTTCTGGTCTATATACAGAACATTTTTAAATTGGTGCATGTTTTAATTATGTTTTCATCCTAATATAAGTCAACAAAATATTTTATATAATTTTTCGCACATAATAATTGTCTTTTATAATAAAGTAGGGTTATTATAATAACGCCATCGAAATAATTGCATGCTCGGTATGACTATAGGTAGGAACGAAATAATTGTTGATAACTATTTCACGACAATTTTCTTATTAGTGAGTACCCGTGAACTTTCTTAAATTCATTTTAATCAAAATAAATAAATCTATATTCACACCGTGGTCTCACATATTTTAAATATTAACGTTGAAAACTAGACCATATTAGCATTTGAAATGTCAAACTAAATATTAGACAGACAGACTAAATATTTTGGTGACTTAAAAATTTGATCAACTCAATTCATACCATCTCGGTTCAGTTACAAATTTATTTATATTAGATTGGTTCAAATAAATAAAAGTAATTATATATATATATTATATTTATTTATTTATTTTATTCTATAAAGATATTTGGTTTATTTATTCTCTAAAATTCTTAAAATTAATTTTTAACTCTTTAAAAAAGTAATTTTTAAAATATATATATATTAAAATTGAGTTATAAATATTTGAAAATAAATATTTGAAGTGGGCATTGAACATAGAACGAGACATAAAACAAAACAAGGGGTAATGAGTAGACTTGGGTGTCACAGATAGCTTTGTTGAAGGGCTAAGTAGGGCCCCGAGCCTTAACCTCGAAAGTTGAGGTTCTAAAGAGAAATTGGACATACGGTTCTGTAGTCAAGTCTATTCATATGAAATAGGAAAACTTGCGAAATTTGGAATCAACGGGACGCTCCACGACACTGTATGTCTATTCGTCAAAATCATGTCTACACCTGACAGATTAAAAATGTTTCGAAATATACGTTAGAAGGAGGCATAATATCAGCTCTCCACCATCCCTAGGCCCTGTGACCTAATTCGGGTAGTTCACCTTGTTCGAAGTGGGTCTCAGTGGGGTCAGGACTCATGGGTAACTCTTTCCTTATTCGAGGCGACTCTCCTTATTCGAGATGGGTCCCGATGGGGTCGGGGCTTACGCGTAAAGTAGACATTTTTACTTATATAAAGGGTAGCTTCCATAACATCTCTCCAATCCAAGCTCTTGAAATCCAACGTCAATGGCATCTATAACCATTCATTCTTCCTCCACCATCGTCCCCAGCCACCCTACTCCCACCGGCATACTCTCCTTCTCCGATTGCGACCAATACAAGCCATGGACTCACGTCCCCACCGTCTACGTCTACAAATCCCCGGCAGCCAAGGTCGCCGACGTCGAGTCCTTAAAAACCTCCCTCAGCCAAATCCTCGTCCCTTACTACCCTCTCACCGGGCGTCTCCACTGGATCGCTGGCGGCCGCCTCGAGCTTGATTGCTGCGCTGCTGGAGTCCTATTCGTCGAAGCTTCCTCCAACGCCAAGCTGGAAGATTACGGCGACTTTGCGCCGTCGGATGGTGTAAGAAAACTCGTTCCGGCCGTGGATAACAATTCTCCGATCGAAGAGATTCCGATGCTTCTATTTCAGGTGACGAGATTCAGCTGCGGTGGGCTTGTCATTGGTGTAGCTAGTTGTCATACTGTGGTGGATGGAGCCTCTGGCATCTTGTTCATCAACTCCTGGGCGAGCATGGCGCGCGGAGACAAGACGGTGGACACTATTTTGCAGCCATTGCATGACCGGAAATTTCTGATGCCGGAGAACCCGCTTCGTCCGCCACGGTTCGACCACGTTGAATTTACTAAACCACCACCAGTTATCCTTGGCAGCTCCGACCCAGAGGTAAGTGGTCCGAGCCCACTGTTAATAGATATTGTCCTCTTTGAGCTTCTCCTCAACGTTTTTAAAACGAGTCTGTGTTATTTCTATTCTTAACAGGAGGAGGGAAAGCAAAAAACCACATCGACATTGCTCAAACTTACCAAAGAACAAATTGAAAAGTTGAAAAAGAGAGCAAATTCAAACCTAGCCAATCAAACCATGGGGGTGGCTGATGAATTACAACCACGACCATACTCCCGATTTGAGGCCATTATCGGACACATGTGGATTTGTGCATGCAAGGCTCGTGATATCGGCGAGAGCCGACAACCGACGGTGGTTTGTACCCCTATTGATGTAAGAAAACGGATGAAGCCACCCATCCCAGAAAACTTCTCAGGAAACTCATCTATCATCGTCCGAATGCCAGAATGCGTGTTCGGGGATATTATGACTCAACCATTGAGCTATGCTGCAGGAAAGGTAAGAGAAGGAACATGGAAGATGACCGGCGAATACGCGCAATCAATGATAGACTATCTAGCAGGACAAGAGGACCTTAGCTGGTTGAGAAAATCATCCCACTCTAATGTTCGAGCCAAAGCTTCGTTCTGGGGCAACCCAAATCTTTCAATAGTGAGTTGGATGTCCCTTCCATTTTATGAGGCGGATTTTGGTTGGGGACGACCGTGTTACTCTGGACCAGCAATGTTGCACATGGATGGGAAGGGATACATAATGTTGGGGCCAACCGATGATGGGTCGCTCATAGTAGCGATACGGTTACAAACAAGGCATATGGATAATTTCAAGAAGTATTTCTACGAAGATATATAAAGATTCGAGTAACACCGAAGTCGTGAGTAGAGTAACACTCTTGTCACCATAGTTTGCTATAGAACATCTTGCATGTTCTTCATGATTTTCACCATGTTTGCTATGTACTCAAGCAATGTTCTTCTTTCTATATAATATTTTGTTTAAGTTGGGCTATGTTTAGAATAAAACTAAAGTTTTAAACTTTATAAAGTGAATAGAAAATGAGATTTTTAATAAAAGTAATGTCGATGCTACGATGGTCGCTACTCCTTTCGGGTGTCCGACAACAATACCAGAGAATGCTAGTCCAACTAGAAAAGGGGTGCAGAAGGTGTGCGAACCGACTGGTGGGTCCATATTCACACGTATGGGTCGTGTATAGAATAATAAATACACATCCAATGACTCGGTTATGATAGTCACCTAAGTAAATACGACATTAAAATGATAGGTCTCATTCATGTTGTATATCTTTAGTCACTTGGATATTTGTTAAAATACTCAAGTCATGTGCTACTTCTATATTTCAGATAAAGGCAAGACACTCCTACAGATTGACAACGACGAACATGACACATTCATAGGGTAGATGCATTTAAATTTATTTAATATTTTATTTTTTATTTGATATTGTTTTAAAGATTTTTTTTGAACATGTAAGCCCACGAAGTTATTTTATGAAGATGATATAAACGATTATTTCCATAAATGAAGTTACGTTATATATACGACGACGGTGACTTTAGGTTTATAGAATCTAGGGTTATTTCGGACATTATCAAAATTATTAATCGAAAGTAATGATATATAACATCTAAAATTAAAATAAAATAAAATTAAAAAAAAAAAAAAAAACCAACATGACCTAACTTTTATGGTTTGGATTGTGTAGTTTAGATTGGTCGGAATCTCAGGTCATATATGAACACCTTGAATATCTACGAATGATCTAAAGAAATTATGTTCACTCTTTAAAAAAATATTAGTATTCGATAACGAGAAAATGATAAATATTTTTATCAGCCTCCTACATTTTAACGGTGTAAAATGTATTTTATTTGTTAGTTCCTGAACATCGCTCATTAAATAAAATATAAATTATTATTTTAAAAGTTTAGAAATGATATACGAGAGCCTAAATAAATGATTTTCATCTGTAAAAGTTAACGGTGTTAATGCTATTTTTAAATTTTGATAAGTATGGTTTAAATATGGTTGTAATAGTTATAGTATTTTTGAAATTTGTAAAAAAATTGCACGGTATTAATGAAATTTCATAAAGTTTAAGGATATTTCGAGAATAAAGTACTAATAAATTTTTTCAAATTTAACCGTTCATGACCATACAAATATTGTATGTTCTAGCGAGTTACGTATTGTTACGTATTGTCATCAGTCTCACGGCATTATAATATGTCTGTACCCAAAAATAATTTGTTTCCATTTATTAGATTAAAATTAATTTAATGTCAAACAAGACTCAAAATTTTTAATTTTATACCGATTAGATCCGTAAATTAATAACCTAATAAAATCAAAATAAAAAATTTAAGTTTTTTTTTTTTTTTTTTTTTTTTTTTAAATTTCAATCAAATAAATATAAACTTGTATCCATTTTTTCGTGATATTATGCATGGATCAGCTATATCATGGCGAATTCTTCGGAAAAAAATTGTGTCTTCCAAAATGGAATATGATAAGTGAGATTTCGAGTAAGTGTTAACGTAATCCTCTTCTGTCTGAAGAAATGGTTCATCGAAATAATGAGTCACCATCGATATCGACACATCTGAGATCGCCAAATGTTCGGGAGTTCTGCTATTCAATCCTTTTCCTTCTTCTTGTTGCTGTATATCTCGTTCATACACATCTTTTTGTTTCTCGAGCCTATACTGAGTTACAGACAGAGTAAGTCGAAAAATTCTATTATCAAACAAACAGACAGAGTAAGCCTATAGTGAGTTACAGATAGATTCTATTCTTGAGCCTATATCGACATATCTCAGGTCAACTCTTGTATAAATAATTAAATATATCTCAAAGATTCTATTCGACGCTAGCCAAAACAAAGGTAGGGCTACAAACGTTGACATTTGTAAGTCATAATGCATCACTGTAATCGGGTTACAAACGTCAAATATTCTTGATCTTCGTAATAATCTTAAAAGTAGGGTTGAATGAGATTGTAACCCTGTTTTTGGATTAGTCTAGTTGGCCGGACCAAAAAAATGTCAACTCAATCCAAATCGGTAAAAATCTAACCAAACCCAATATGTATGGCTTGAGTTGGATAGTTTTTGCTGTCATTTTAATCGAAATAAATGAATCAACAACCGTGGTCCCCACATTTTTAATAAAGTATTAAAAATGGCGTTCAAGCTTTAATCAACATTCAAAACTATGATGACCCCACGTCGGTTGGAGAGGTAACAAAACATTTCTTATAAAAATGTGGAAAACTCTCGTTAACAATCGCGTTTTAAAATCGTGAGGCTGACGGTGATACTTAACAGACTGAAACGGACAATATCTGCTAGCAGTAGACTTAGGTTATTATAAACGGTATCAGAGTCAAGTGCGGTGTGCCAACGAGGATGCTAGGCTCCAAGGGGGTGGATTGTGAGATCCGACATCAATTGGAGAGGGAAACGAACGAAACATTTGTTATAAGGGTGTAAGATCTATGTTGGTTGGAGAGGGCCGGAAACCTTAACCTAATGAACGTGTTTTAAAACTGTGAAGTTGACGGTGGGCTTGAACTAGTTCAAAAATTTGGGTTGAGTTAGGTTATGAACTTATGTTGGTTGACTTATGGATTCTTTACAATTACATTCAGTTGAATTGAACTAATTGGAATTTTTCCTTACAAATACAATTATGTGAGAAAAAAAAATTTAAATACAGAAAATAATAATAAAAATAATTTATTTTAGTCTCACTTGTTTGGTTGAGCTAAACCCTAAACTCATAATAAAGTACTTTTTCAAAACTCAGCATTTCAATGATATTTACAGTATGAGTAAGAGTATGGGCGTGCTAATTGTCACAACCATGCTATGAAAAGAGTAGATTGTGACCCTCATGTCGAGATAAGCGAAACAACGACCCTCAAGAGGCGCCCATTCGACCGCACGATGACCAATATATAAGAATATCATGATGCGACCGAGGAGGATGGTGCATCATCCAACATACCACACGAAGTGAATATTGAAGATAGAACGAGGAATAAGCAAGACAAAGGTAATAAGTAGACTTGGGTGTCATAGATAGGTTTGTTAAAGGGTCGAGTAGAGCCTTGGGTCTTATTCTTGAAAGTTGAGGTTCCGAAAGTAAATTGGACATACGGTTCTGGAGTCAAGTTCGTATTCATATGAAAGTTTGAAAAATTTGGTTTCAATTAGACGCTCCATGACACTGTGTGTCTGTTTGCCAAAACTATGTCTACACCCGCTAGATTGAAAATGCCTCAAAATGTACTTTGAAGGAGGCATGGTGTAAGCTCTCCACCACTCTTGGGTCATGTAACCTAAGCGAGTTACCCTGTGGCACATACATGTGTTACAATGAGAGTGAGCGTTGCAAGACAAGCATCTGCAACGACTTCCTTTGAGATGGGTTTTCAAGAACAGTACTGGGCAGCACTGGTGTTCTGGTATTATACCCCAACAGCCATATGTCAGAGGTTGGATCATACACCATTATCTAGAATGGAGTCCGTAAATGATATACATGAACACAAGAGGGTCCAATGTCTCTATAGAACCCGGATGGATGGATGTTTGAGATATCTCAATATTACGAACAACATATGAACCCGTTCTCGATGGCATAATCGAGTGAGTTGCGATGGTCGACGACACCCCATGACTGGAGATGACATCAAGACATATGGGTCATGTTAAACAACCAAGATGACATGATGAGGTGCGACATTATACAGAGAGATCTTGGCTACAAGTAGAGGCAAGGTCAAGGCCAAATCATTTGGCCTAGTTGGTTGTGTCGCAAATGATTGAACATACACACACAGGCAGTGACGTGTTGCCAAATGAACTTTGATTCCCTACAAGTGATGTTCGATTGACGAAGACAAATCTTGCTTGAGGTTCGACGAAGCCACAAAGTGAGAAAGAACAATTTAGATATCTTTATTAATTTAATAAATATATTTGGTAGAATTACTTCACCGACATCATTTATGCTTACAAATTTAATGCAAACCATCTTAGTATGTGTTGTATAAGTTGCCACGATGCTTTAGTTTGGCTTCTTTCACACCAATCGCAGACACAACCTACCCACTTTTTATCAGCCACTTAAATTGTTATTATTAATTCATGGTCTTTATCTCTATTACGCAACATTTAATGACCTGACATTTTATTATATTTTTTGCCATATAATCAGGTTACTGACTTTTCGTTTTCAAAAGTAAAGATTGTCTTCAAGTTCTTCTGGCATGTTTTGTCCTCACGTATGTGCATCTTAAAAAAAAATTTATCGACGGAGTTTCAATTACTTAAACTTTTCTTAATCATCTCGTCCACGAGATCACTCTTATTTAGATATGATCTCAGTTCATTTATATGGACATGCTTACCAATTCCGACCTTGGTTCTTTCCTAAGCCATGTCTTATTGGAAAAGGTACTACCGTGATACCATTTGTAATGATCCATGTCGAGTTAGAAGGTAACCATAAAGGTTAGTTTTACCTTTTACTTTTATAGTTGTTTACATTTAAAGTAGAAATATTCCAAATTTAAAATAATTTAAATTTTCATTATTTTTCTTGTTATATATATATATATATATATATATATATATATATATATATATATAT